AGAGAGAGAGAGAGAGAGAGACAAAGAGAAGAAGAGAAAAAAAATTAAAATAGAAGTAAATAGGCCAGGTATGGTGGCTCACACCTATAATGCCAGCACTTTGGGAGGCCGTGGCAGGCAGGAGTTTGAGACCAGCCTGGCCAACACAGTGAAACCCCATCTCTACTAAAAATACAAAACTTAGTCAGGTGTGGTGGCATGAGCCTGTAATTCCAGCTACTCGGGAGGCCAAGGGGCAAGAATTGCTTGATCCCGGGAGGCAGAGGTTGCAGTGAGCCAACACCACCAATGCACTCTAGCCTGGGTGACAGAGTGAGACTCTGTCTCAAAAAATAAATAAAATAAATAAAAGCAGACACTAAAATGAAAGCATGCTGGATTATAATGATGAAGAATGTACACTAAAAAATAATATAATAAAATAAAGACTTTAATTTTTTTCTTTTTTGGCAACAGGGCCTTTTTTGTCATCTTGGCTAAGTGCAGTGACACAATCAGAGCTCACTTCAGCCTCAAGCTCTTGGGCTTAATCAATCTTCCCGCCTCAACCTCCCAGGTAGAGCTAACACTGTAAGTGCATGCCACTACACCCCAGCTAATTTTTTATTTTTTTGTAGAGATGGGGTCTCACTATGTTATCCAGGCTGTGCCAGAATTCCTGGATGCAAGCAATCCTTCTGCTTTGGCCTCCCAAAGTGCTGGGATTACAAGTGTGAGTCATCATACCCAGCCAAAGCCCTTAATTTCTTACACATCAATTTAAGAGCCTGGATAAACCAACACATTAAAAAGGAATAATTCACATACCAGTGTGAGTAAATTCAAGACTGAGATGATATAATCGGTACCACAAGTCTGGCAGTTCTCCAGTTGGTCTAATCCATATGTAATGACCATCTCACAATGTATAGTCATGCTAGGATCCAAGCTGCCGAGCAAAACACCAACACATTCATTAGCAGCTGTCAACACAGCCTCAGAAAAAAACACCTGGTTTGCAGCCTTCACACATCTCATTACTCTGTACAGAACCTGTAAATGGGGAAAACAAGCAGCTTTTTAAAAAACTTCACATGCTTCCACAAAGCAAGAAAATACTTTCTATTTAATGCAATTTCAATTGAAAATTAACTACTTGCCTTGCTAGCAGTCTCTTAATATTCTAGTTCTCAGTAGTTGAATAATAACAATAGCTTTAGTACAGTATGTAAACATGATCTTGAATAAAAAATCCTAAAGTGCTATTATGAAAGGAAACAGAATCTGCCATCCTCTATTTCCCATATACCTACTTCATTTCCCCCAATGTCACTAAATGGCTGAAGCTCAGAATCTTTATCATGAAATACACCATGACAGTAATGGTATTGACAGTAAGGGAACGGCCTGCCCACACATACTACAAGCTGGCTCTTGGGCTTTTGGGAATCAATCTTTTAAAACTGTACATATAAGTCACCTTAAGCTTATTAAAGTTTCTATCTGCTGATGGTCTCTTTTGAAAGATAAGTATTGTCATGGTTACCACATAATATCTTCAAAAATCGTATTATTTCCAATACACACACAAACAAAATCCCCCACTAAACTATAATGGCCATTAATTGTGTACTATATTTCTAATAAAATAGGAGGAAAACACAGAGCAAATAAATGCCAAAAACTATTTCTGCAATATTTAACAACCAATACATACAGGATTTTATTTAGTCTACCCATAGTTTTCATTAAAAGCATCCTTTTTTCTTCCCCCTATTTTTTTTTAAAGACGGGGTTTCACCATGATGGCCATGCTTGAACTCCTGACCTCAGGTGATTCACCCACCTCGGCCTCCCAAAGTGCTAGGGTTACAGGTGTGAGCCACCACCCCGGGCAAAAGCATCCTTTGAGGCTGGGCACAGTGACTCATGCCTATCATCCTAGCACCTTGAGAGGATTAGCTGGGACGTTCGCTTGAATCTAAGAGTTTGAGACCAGCCAAGTCAACATAACAACACCTCATCTCTACCAAAATTTTTTTAACTTAGTTGGGCATGGTGGCATGCACCTGTAGTCCCAAATACTTGAGAGGCTGGGGTGGGAGTATCACTTGAGCACAAGAGGCAGAGGATGCATTGAGTTGTGATTACACCACTCCACTTTAAAAAGAAAGAAATAAAAGCTGGATATGGTGGCAGTCGCAGGGCTGAGTAAGGTGGGAGGCTCACTGGGGCCCAGGAGTTCAAGACTACAACGAGCTATCATTGCACCACTACACTCCAGCCTGGATCACAGAGTAAGGCCCTAGCACCCAAAAAAAAAAAAAAAAAAACCCACCATTCTACCATTCTCAAAGGCCTAAAAGATCCTCATATACACCTATCCTATAAATTACGTCCCTTTTATTTTACACTTAAGTTAATGGCTTTTTATTTCAACTCTGCAGTCTTGAAACACCTTTAGATATTAAAAATGAAGCAAAGATATTAAACCATTTTGAAACCATATTCGTTTAAAATACCAATATACTGGTTTCATTTAAGATCTGACATTTCTGCTCGAATACACAACTTACTAAACATTTTATGTAACTATATACTCAATATCCTATTTTATCTAGCAATATGTTCAGCAAAAGTATATGCTCCTAAAAGAGAGTTTTATTCCTAACAGTAAAATTTCAATTAGTTAGATTAAATCTTTTATGACCGCAACACACATGCTTCTTTCTCCTTATTCAAGGCAGAGTACAATGCCTGGGGTTCATTTCTCCTGTCTTTTCCACTGAACACTCACTGGATGTGCTACCGTGCAGCTAATGTTTGAGGCTGCTGAAGTGTGGCAATCTAACTACCTTGTTTTTAATTTGTTTATGTTCTTTGATATCAGGCTATCAAAGAATACAAAGATATACAAGTTTTCACTGGAGTTCCATCTTATGCTCAGAGATTACTTTCTGAGGCTTTTCCTACAGTGTGCTATTCGTAGTATGTTGAAAAACTAAAAGAAAACCCAGCAATTTAAAAGTAAAATTATAATAAATATTATTTTAAAACAAAAGAATAAGATTTAAAAATTCAGAGTGGCCTTTTGTCATGGGAGAGTAGGGGAGTTGGATGAAAGGAGGATGAGATACAATAGGATTCCTTTTCTGGCTATTTAAGAAAGCAATCAGATGGTATATACATATATACATACATAGACACATGCTAAACAAATGAAGGATTAACAACAGTTTACTAGGTAAAGAGAAGCATTTACAATGTAAAACAATTTTTTTTTTGAATGACACTTGAAACGCCTAAAAGCACTTACATCTGTTACATATGCCTCAGTAATTGGAGGACCCCGAATTGGGCTGAAGCGTTCTCCAATGCTCCTCACCACAGTACTAAATACCCGGAGAAGTGCAGCCAGTTTTGGTAATGACACTGATGGAGGAGGGACGTCTTCATCCACTGATTCCCCAGAGGCTACATGGCTGAGGTCCTAGATGTGAATTCACAGTATTCTTAAGTAGTGCATTGTTTTTAAAAAAAAAAAAAAAAAAAAACCCTCAAATATTTAAATCAATTCATTTTAGAATAGATTTTTAGAAAGAGGAATTGTATGGTCCATGAAAATATTCACGGCTCTAAATATAAAAATGGGTTTTACCTAATTATTTCAAAAAGCCAACATTAAACCCAATAGACAATAGATTAAGGAAATAATCTCACATACCAACTCAGAAAGCTGTTGGGGAAAGATAAATTCTAGTACATATGCTCTCGTTATATATAGGTATAAATGAAGCGAGAACCCTTTGCCATTCCTCAATTAGTTTTCTGCTAAAAATCTCATTCTGGGTATTCCCTGAGCCACTCAGCTCAACAGTAAGTCCTCCAAACTAAGCACATGCACATGTAGAGCAAAGGGAGGTCATAAGACCTGGCCTACAGATTTGTAATTGAGGAAGTATATATACAAAAAGGACAAGAGTCGCAAAAAATGGGACACTAGAACCAATATATATATCTACCTAACATTAGGCACCAAAATAAAAGAAGAAAATGAGACTTAAGGATAACAAGGGGAAGCATCTCTGCAAACCAGAATGTGTGGCTTCTGAAAGGTAGATCCGCTTTAAAGGTAAGCTATGAAAAAAGACGTTCTAGGTGTGAAGGCAAAGAAATAAATGCAGATGCAAAACATTTCCTTGCTTTTCTAGGAAAGAGTAAACCTATCAGTACAGCTAAAGGTACTGAATTCCTGTTGACTATAAGTAGCGAAGATGAAAAAAACAAGATGACACTAAATCTTATAGGAGCCTTGATTGGTTGATCTGAATAGGGGAGAAACACAAAGCGATTCAGATAAGATATGGCACAGAGTTAAGCCACAACAGTGGGGCCAGAAAAGCCAAGTACCAGTAACAAGGGTTTCAGCAGCACTCTTAAAGCTCCTATGCTATACTGGGACAGCTGCAAAAGCAGGCTGAAGCCAAGGCTTGTCCTCCATTCAAGATTTTCTGTACGTATGTAAGAGCAAGGTCTTTAGGGGCTTTGGGTGTGTGTGTGTGTGTGTGTGTGTGTGTGTGTGTGTGTGTGTGT